CCCCCCCACCCCCCCCCCCCCCTGCCCTGAGTGCAGCCCAGCCCCAGCCCCAGCCCCAGCCCCCACCACTGGAAAAGCCTCCAGCCCTGAAATCACCACAATAATCCACCCTTGCCTCATGCACAGATCAAGGTGGGGACATGCCCCCATGCCTCCCCCAGCTGGGGTGCACACAGCAGCAGAAGCCATCCCCCTATGCTTTAGAGAACATGTGCCAGCTCTCCTACATATCTGCTGAATGTTCCAGATGCCTTCTCAACTTCCGCATTGTGTGCTTATCTTCATACATACCCATTTGTATGAAGATTTATGCTTGTGAAGTATTTTAAAAGTATTTTTATGTTATGAGTTTTGGGTCCTTTTTCAGTTATCTCTCTGTAATCATCAGGGATCCTGATTCTGTGTTTCCCACAGAAACACAGAAAAAAATGAGGATTTTCCTTTTTAAAATGAAAAATATTCGTTTTTCTCGGTTAACGGAGAAACGCATGGATTTTCCACTTTTGCAAAAGCTCTCAGTAGGCTGGCAGAATTCCAGTCGGCATAAGGTTGGGGGGAACGGGAGGAGGGCTGTCAGGCAGGGGGTGCCATGTGAATGTGCGTGCTCACACATGCACATGGCTGCCAGGCAGCTTGGACAGCAGCTCCTGTAGGTAGGTCTGGCACATGGGCAGGGGGGATTAAGGCCCCCATAGGGAGGAAGGGGGGAAGGGAGGAATAGAGGGAGAGGGAGTGAGTTGGGCAGGGCTAAGGCTTGAATGCGCAACTGAAGGGCCCAGCCAGGGAGCAGGATGGAGCCAGGGAGCAGGATGAGCCACTCACAGCAGGATGGAGCTGTGAGCAGCTCATCCTGGAAGCACAGGAGGGTGAGACTGGCTCCCCACTGCTGTGTGCACTCCCAGGGTGGGAGGTAGAGGGGGAGGAGGAGGCACATCACAGATTTAATTTTTTTAAATGAGAGAATTTACAGTTTTTAAACAGAGAAAACCATGATCCCTGGTAATCAGTTACGTTCAAGTCTTTCTTTCTATACCATCCAGAAAAATAAACCACTGGCTTATGGTGAACAGTAACTGATCTGCAGCTTCCTTACCTTAGGAAGATAATCACAACCAAGAAGAACTGCTAGTCCAATAAGACACTCCCTGTCATAACCTAGCTTCTCCTTAATAGAGGACATCGTGTAACAGTCAACATAGGGGTCCTATAAAAAGGAAAAAGATGATAGCTGGTTTTCTAGCTGTAGTTCTGTTTATCCTGGTTCATTGGTATGTTGCTGGCATGGGTGAGCTCTGTCCCATCTTAAACTATGAGTCCATAATCCTTTCTCTTCCTGCAATCCAGCAATTTATTCACTATGCATCTTCCAACTTCTGTAACATATGGGAGAGGGGTGGCCCTATACACAATAGATTCTTAAAAAAATTGACAACCATAATTCATCCCCAGAGCTGCTCTATCTTCTGCCATGAATAAGGCAGTGGCTCTGTAGAAGCAGCATTCAGCTGTTTAACTGGAGATTATATCATAAGGTGTTTAGACAAGAGGGCAAATCGAGGTTGCATAAGGAGTCTTAATCCCGGAGTTGGGGTTGTCAACAATGGGCCACAGTGTTCAACCGTTGCCAGAACAACCCAAACCATTTTTGTCACCAGTACAAACAGCATGACTGATACTAATACTATCTATTACTAGGGACTGGACACATCATTCAAGGACTGCTGCTTTTAGAATCCACATTGACCTGATATATCAGGGTTACAGCTGACAGAACTATTTGAAGCTCAAAGTACAGAGAATCAAAACATAATACGGGGGGGAATCAGGGCTGATATGTACCAAAGGTTTTCAACTTTTTGCCCAATAACCTACTTTTCAAGACAGATGAATAGACAGACACCTGCAAGAAACATCCATTTCAATACCTTGAGTAGCTAAGTTTGAAAATAGGGCTCTTAATTAGTCATTTGTATGGAAAGAAAACTAATGGGTAAAAAATGAACAGAGGCACATTGTCCTACATGAGTTCTTTTTTAAAAGGTATGAAGTGCTCCTAGCTGTCTCTCTGTTCCGTTAATTCTTTTAACCATTAATGTGTTTTCCTAGCTCAAAACTGAGACTTCTTATACCAAGATACAGTTGAAATGCCAACATTTTGTCCATTTGCTTGCTGCACTAAACAAACTAAAAGAAACCTCTGCATATACTAAAGACATAATGGATTCAAGAGCTGTATTTTACCTTTCCCACCAGTCATAAAAACCTATATTTCTAGTGAATGTACATTTCAATTCAAGATCTTAAGTTTATAGTTTGTTTCAGTTCATATATTTGAATACTCCGGGGTAGTTGGATCATTGCTTATTATTTGGACACAGAAGATGTTGTCCCATCAGTATTCAATCTGAGGAGCAAGTCATCATCAACTGTAAATTTGTTTATATTAAAGTGTCATATGCAAATGAGTAAGCACTAGTATTTAAACAATAAGACTGATGTTCCCATATGCCTTTATTCTGTCTCAAACAACAAGAGACGTGATACATTTTTTGCTATTCAATTCAGCTATTTTCCTTGTACATCCAGCACTTGGACACTAGTGAATTGAGTTAGACAGGTTATTTTAAGCAAATCCAAATACTGGAGGATAAAAGAATGATACCTAATTAATTGCTCAAGATCTTCATGGCATTTCCCATTTATTTAATCAGAGAATGAGTGTCTGAGGAAGCCTGAAGGAAAAAAAAAAATCTAAACATTTTACCTTAGCATTCATAGTAAAGTTGCGATAAACTGTTTGAGCTCCATACAAGAAAACATCACCATCATTAGTGATGCAGCCATCAACATATCCATTTGCATTCAGGTAAGCACACATGGCCTCTGCTTCACCAGCTGCTTGAACCCAAGGAACTCCTAAACACTCCAACATTTCAAGGCACTAAATCAAAACAAAAATGTCAAGACACAGACACTAAGCTTTCAATGATCCCATTTGTTCTAAATGCTCATCCAGTTGAGTATGGTTGTGCATACCTGCAATGGCCATTATTATATAATGCTGTTAACCTAAGAGAGATTTTAAGATGATTAACATGATAAACAAAAATGTGATTTTTGCCTGGAAATCCTATATTTAAAATGAGAATAGGGAAAAATTAGAATCACCAGTACTGAATGGTAACTGGTCATTTCTGCTAGAAAACTGCATAGATTAAATGGACTTTCAGAATACCTCTGAAGATGGGAGGCTGAGGAATTGGCATCCATTACTATTAAGATTAGGCCAGAACTGACACAGAAGTGGGAAGTGAAAGAGGCATAAGAGGCAGGATAGCTTCTTAAACTTCCATTGTGCATCATGTTTTAATGAAGTACCCCATGGTTTCACACTCCCTCCCACTCAGTCGGGTAGGCCGCATCCAGATGTGGGTAGATGCTTGGTTCCCCAAAGACAACTAGTGGTGGGGCACCTTGTGCTGCCGCTAGTTTTTAGTATGAATTTTGGCATATTAGTTGATTTTATATATATTAGTTTAAAAGTTTATATTTTAAACTAATATAAATAATTGATAATAGTATTGAATTGATAAACCTCTATGATTGTATTAGCTTTATTTTTGTCTTTTATGAACTAAAGCTCAATTTTGTGCTTCTTCCTTGCTTGACGTGAGTAAATGAACTTTGTATACCCTGTGTACATGAGAGTCTGTGTGAGAGGGTGAATGGTGCAAGAATGGGAATTTTTTTGCATGAAAGCAAAAAAAGAAGATTTGACTGTTTGTGTAAGCAACAAGGCACCAGTGTATGAGTTACCAGACTGCAAACTAATTAATGGATGGCTGAAGAACTTGTCAGTGATCAGGTGCAAAAGGAGATAGTGAAAAGAAGGAATTCTGCATATACTGCCATTTGATCTACACAATGCCTCAAGGCTGAGATACCAACTCTGAGATACCAACTTTACTGTAATGACCTCAAATTGAGATAACCAGAAGATGGATAAGAAACCACCTCTCATTAAAAACTAAGCATGGAAAAAACTCAATGCTGAACAAAGACTTGAAATCCCTATAAGTGAGATGCAGCCAAGCCATGTTGGGGAATCAGCTCTCTGCAACTTCCTGGAGCACAGGCACGTCTGTTCACCCTCGCTCCCATCACCCTCAATGAGCCTGGGCTGGCCACCCAGTGCTAATACTGAGCAATGTCTGCTGGTAACTATAACATCTTACTGGAGTGGTTTTGTCTGTATGTCTGTCTAGGTCTGTTCGTCTGTGTTTGTTTGTATGACTGGTGTGTCCAAGCTTATGCATCTGCTTCATGTAATCAATAAACGCAGCATTTTGCCTTATCCCCCTTTATAAGGTCTTGCTCTTGATTTGATTGATAGGTAATTTAAAGTAATAAGTTATCCTCGGGGAACATCTGTGCCATCTGCACTCTGGCACATGGCAAGTTACCCCGGGTGGGGTAGGGGAGGCTGGGGCCTCCAGCAGCTTTACCTGGGGGCCTCCTAGGGCTGTAGCAGTGGCAAGCTTGCTGCATACAGCCTGGCCGGCAGCGAAGCATGGCTCTGGCTGGCCAGGTTCCAGCTTTGGGTGGTGCACACTGCTGCTGTGTGTGCCACCCCACATCTTTTCCAGGTGTCAAAAAAACAAACAAACCTGGAGCAGCGCGGAGAACAACTGAATGTGAAGCATGTGGCACCGCACATGTCTCTGTGGTGCCACATACTGCACAGCCACTCTCAGCTGGACATGGCCATAATGTCTTTGGTAAATACACAGCATTGCTTAAGCAAGAAAAGGATTGAAAGAGTCAAAGTAATGATGTGAGAAAGTTGAATGCATATGCTACAGTGCAGGTCTAGCTAGCAGGCAGCCCCTGCACTGTAGCACCCTTGTGCCCCAGCCAGCCCTGGTCACCATCTACACGTGTTTCAGCTCATGCAATTACTCTGGTGTAGGATAGCACTTGTCCTGGACAGTAGTATCCTACAGCAGAGTTAATCAATTTACTGCACCCCAATACACAATGGGGACACAACGGTGGGAGTCTACTACAGACCTCCCACC